CATCCTAACCTTATAAAAACCGTAATCCTAAGTCAAATTATCTCCACAAACACAACTTTATATTGTTTTATTGTCTTTTTGGGAGAACACCAAAATGATCCCCACCTTCTTTGTCATCTGAAGCTGTTCTTCATTTACTTGTTGGGCAATGTGGAAACCACACAAGAGCCATTCACTGGGTCTTCATGGCCTTCGAAGAACGGGAAGCAGAATAGGGGACGCCATCCCTGGGTGGGCGTGCCAGGCCTCGTTCACATGAGCCAACATGAAGGGGTAATGGGACATCACCTGCACCCCGACAGCCCTCCGTGGTTTGGGGCTCTGCTTCCCAGACAGTAGTTCGTATGATCTAGTTTGGAGGGTCCCAGGCATACTTCTATACTCTGATGACAACATAAACGGCACCGAATCTCTATTCTTGGAGCAGGTTCTAAGTGTCAGTATTCTTCCCAGAATGTCTGTTTGTTGTTTGGGTTTTTCTCTCCATGGTTTTTGCCACCTTCAGTGACCAAGCCACATACAGCCCCAGAACAGGGAGAGAACAGAAAGCTATAAAGGCAGAGAAAGGCACAGGAAGCCAACAGTACTCTTCAATTCCATCTCTGTGTATCTACTAAAAATATAAACCAAAAACGAGACGCCTGTAATTTCTTTTCCTGGTGGTACTGTAATCCTCAGTGCAGATTTTTAGCATGCTTGGCAAATATTTACCGGGTCTAGTTTATGATAATATGTGAAAGAACATATGTCATTTAAATTTTTTAACGTTTATTTATCACTGAGAGACAGAGACAGAGCATGATCGTGGGAGGGGCAGAGGGAGGGGGAGACACAGAATCTGAAGCAGGCTCCAGGGTCTGAACTGTCAGCACAGAGCCCAGTGCGGGACTTGAACCCACAAACCGTGAGATCATGACCTGAGCGGAAGTTGGACGCTCAACCGACTGAGCCACCCGGGTGCCCCAGAAGATATGTCGTTTATATGGCAGATTTTGTGGGTGCCTTCTCCACACCTCCCACCTTCTCTTCCTTCAACAGAATCCATCCCTCTGGTTGTCATCTTGAATGATGCTTCCATACAGCAGTGAACACATCCGCCTGTGATATTTAAAGAACTGAACCTGCCCTCTCAGATTTGCTTTAGAGTTTAAAACAAAATAACTGACAGATGATCTCGCTGCCCAGAATTTGGAACAGCAGGGAAATTGGAAATGGGTGTCCAAAAGTCTTGCCATTTGGACACTTGTTTGCTGAGTTCAGAGTCACACGCACAAGTTCTGCTGGATGGTTCTGAGGACCACCAAGAACATCAGCGACTACCACCGTTTACGGAGTGCCCAGGGCACATTTTAGTGTTGGTATACCGAGTCCCTCCCAGGAGGGAGCTATTGTTCCATGTTGTGCATGAGGGGACTTAACCTTCAGTGACAGAGTCAGTAACAGACTACATTCAAGTTCAGTGTTTTCAAAGCTCTTGTATTTAATTACTGAGTTTGGGGTGCCTCGGTGGCTCAGTCGGTTAGGCGTCCGACTTCGGCTCAGGTCATGATCTCACAGTCTGTGAGTTCGAGCCCCACGTCAGGCTCTGTGCTGACAGCTCAGAGCCTGGAGGCTGCTTCAGATTCTCTTCAGCCTCTTTCTCTGCCCCTCCCCTGCTCGTGCTCTGTCTCTCTCTGAAAAATAAATAAACATAAACTTAAAAAAATTACTGAGTTCATGCTTTAACTACCTTGTGTGGTTTTACGATTTTACTTGGAAGTCCGAGGCGGTGCTTCTAAGGCTCTGTGGGTTTGGGGAATGAAGAAGACAGGTATGCTTTAAAAAGAGGTTTCCAATATTTCAGTGTTTGAAAATCGCAGAGCATGCTGTATTTGCCATCCCTAATATGTAGGCATGTTTATTTATGTGTATGCATATTAGGAGTAGAACAAATTAGTATAATATGTATGTATGCATGCATGCATTGAGCATTTATTAGATACCAGACTCAGTGCATGTGGTTTTCCTTAGATTAAGTTGCCAAGACCCTCCCCCCCAGGGGGTAGAAATCCTCCCCATTCTACCGGTTAGGACTAAGGGAGGTTGGGCATTGCATACAGAGTCACAGAGGGGCCGTCCACGTGGGTTCCCCTCAGCTCCCGGCCCCTTCCATGGTGCCACTGCTCTGGTGGTCTGACTCCCCGTGTCCAGGATTCCTGATGGCCCCCTTACTGGCTTACCCTTATGGAGCATTTTCCTATTTGTATCCTGGAGCTGGCTGGCCTCTGAATTCTAGATGCTTTGTTGCTTTAGGGCAGTTAAATAACTTGACAGCTTTCTTATTTGCATTCCTGTCTGAATGCATGTCCTGCCACCTTGTTCAGGAATAGTGACCCCGTATCTCCTCAGCTTCATGTCTCTGGAAGGTACATGTGTGAACCTGACATTTACCACAGCGGGTGAAGGTTCCTGACTTCGCCTCCTCGAGGAACGAGCTCTCTTCTCTGCTATTGCTTCTTCTGGGTGTGCAGAGGGGGCGGGGCCCTGGTGTCTTGAGGGGAGGTCGTGACCACGTCTCGGTCGCTCACTGCCATTTGCCACTTACAGTTCTCTTCAGTGGGTTTGGGTCAAGTGCAAGTGAGAGCGGGTGCCGATGTCAGATTTCCGTGGGCTTGCAGGAGGAGAAGGGCCTCTCCTGGCTTCCTTGTTTCGTTGGGACTGGTGACCAACCCGGCCCCACCTCTGGAATTTCCATGTTGTTCTGGAAGCTGGGTTTGGTTTTTTGTTGTTGTTGTTGTTTCTTCTTTTACTTTTTTGGGTTCTTTTTCTCCCGTGCGTGATTCTTCAAAATGAAATCTAGGCCTCTAGGAATATTCTCACAACCCTGGCAATTCTGGAATTCCAGAAGAATTACAGGTTGCAATTTTTGTCTAAAAGGAAAAAAGAAATGCCACCGCCCCCACCGATTTTTAGTCAGAACTGTTGAGACCGAGTGTGTTGTGGATCACAAGCTATCAATCACTTTGTGGATTTCTTGAAGTGTTTGCTTTTCCACCTCTCTCCTGTGTTGGTCTCTCATCATAAATCTACAGATAAATTGGTATTTTGTAGGAATTACCTTTGAATCAGACTGGAAAGATTGCCTTTCCTTTCCAGTAAAAAGGAAATTAATGAACTGGAGGCTCCTTCAGGATCTAAAGTAGCAACGTTGTCTGAGGAGAACTTTGGATTTAACCAGCGACACAGACCCAACTTGTTTTGTCATAAAGAGCTAAAACAGGAGGGACCCTTAGGTTGTGCTGATTTCTATTTGAGTGTAATTTTACTAATTTCTGAGTGGGTATGGAAACCCTTGAGTTATTTTGAAAAGAAATTGCTGTTTTCAGGTGGTGAGTTCTCCCTCTGCCCACATGTAAATTTAGAAAACTCTGGATTTTTATTTTGCTTCACCCAAAGTGGCATCTGAATAACAAATAAAAAGCCTCACTTTCTTTTTTTAGTTCAAAGTGAAAAAGAGTAAGAAAGAGCAAATGAGAATCAACCCCCCCCCCCCCCGCCAGCAGACCATATTTCACCCTCTTTTATTTTCTACTGAGAGAAAATGCATTATCTGATCTTTGGTTTCATTTATTTCGTGCCTCACCGTGCACTTGGTGGAGCTCGCTTCTCCCAAGATTATGTTCTGACAGGGTGATAGGACCCAGCACCCGGCCGGCCGTGCGCCTCTGCTCCAGGAGGCGTGATGAAAAAATGTTTCTCCCCTCCCTTTCATCTGATGCCTAAAGCCACAGTGGTGTAAGAGGCATTTGCCCTTTTCAGTAGATCTGTCTCTATCACCACCTCTCATTTTTACGGCTGTCCCCTCTGTGAATGAGGAAGCAGAGAGCACAGGCGTTCAGCCTATTGTGGCCAGTTCACCGGATTATCCACACAAACATTTTTTATTAGAGAAGAAACCAGGCGGTGAGGGAGGCAGATGCACAAAGTGGCCGTTCTAGAAACTTCTATTCCCCCAGGGGAAGGAATCCCCAGGAGTGATTCAGGCCATGATGGCAGCAGTGTTTTAGAATTTTATGGGCGCCTGGGTGGCTCAGTCGGTTAAGCGTCTGACTTCGGCTCAGGTCATGATCTCACGGTTCGTGGGTTCGAGCCCCGCGTCAGGCTCTGTGCTGACAGCCAGCTCAGAGCCTGGAACTTGTTTTCAGATTCTGTATCTCCCTCTCTCTGACCCTGCCCTGCTCACGCTGTCTCTTTCTCTCTGAGAAATAAATAAAACATAAAAAACAATTTTAAAAAATTATTTTCATGAGCACATTATACGCAAGACATGAGCTTGATCAACTTCAGTACTTCATTGCTGGGCGTGGCTGACCAGGGCGGCGCTGGAAACATGAATGTCAGAGGAAGGGCTCCCTCCATGCTGGTCACAAAGAGGAGGAGCGGTCTTCCAAACGGGGAAGCCCAGATCTGTGGAGCTGGTTTTGCTCACACCCCAAGACCCTTGCCGTAAGCGGCTTGCAGACGTTTGCAATTAGCCCCCTTTATTTGTGGACAACTCGGCTGTGCGCATGACCAGATGACTTTGCAATTCCTTTTTTCTTTCTTTCTTCTTTAGTGCAACACCATGATGGTGAGAGGTACGTCTGCAGTAGTGAAACTAATGTTCAGGTCAAATGGAACATATAATCACAGAACTGGGCTCAACTCAGGCCCTGGTGTGTAGAATTTCTTGTCATAAAGAAAGCCAGAGGCCAACCTTTATTTTTCTATACTCAGAGTGCCATGAAATTTCTCAGAGGTTAATTTTTTTTTGCCCAAATAATTGTGTAGTAACATTCTACCTGCATTTGTCACCATGATTTTAAGGTAATGGTACCGGAAAGGTTTATGGCTGATATCTTTTCCCCCAAGACACCTTGAGTTCCCTTAAAATCTTTCTTCTTTTCCTTCACAGCCAGCCTGTGCCTGTGGAGATATTTGTCTCACCCGCACCTCTTGTGTCTGGTTTTCTTTTTACCCAGGCCTTCTGCCTTATCTAGTAGCCCAACGTATTCAGACCTGCCCTTCATCAGGATCTCCCCGCACCGGAACCCCGCTGCAGCCTCTGAGCCCCCCTTCAGCCCTCCGCACCCCTACATCAACCCCTATATGGACTACATCCGGTCTCTTCATAGTCCGTCCCTCTCCATGATCTCGGCAGCCCGGGGGCTCAGCCCTACAGATGGTAAGTCAGTTCCTGACCATCCCTCTTACCCTGTCCCACCCATCGTGCCTCACCTGGAACGTGGTCCAGAGCAGCTCTGATGTTGACTGAATGTTTCCCGTGTCCTGGATGCTGTGCTAAGTGCTTTCAGAGCGTGCTTTCACGTTAGCATTGGGACACCTCCTTGGGGTGTGGGTACCGTCTTCACTTTTAGGTGAGGAGAGCTATGGGCGGGGGGGCCGTGTAACATGCAGCATGGCCCATTGGCTACTAGGTGGTGGAGATGGAACTCGGGGACTCCAAAGACCTTGCTCGCATCCACTGTTCTGCTCTACAGCTCCACGTGCACACAGCACACACATGTGACCAACCATTGTGCTTACCTTTTGATGGAGACTTTTGTTCTGCCCGTCTGAGAGGCACGCTTATACGGATATGTCTGTTAGATCAGCCGATCTCCAATTGCGCTGTGCACGAGGACGACCCAGGGATGATGATAAAATGTGACCTGTGTGGGTGGGTCTGGGGGGTGCCGAGGCTCTGCACGCTGTCAAGCTTCCAGGTGCTGTTAGCACTGTTGGTCTGTGGACAGCGCTCTGAGCAGCAAGTCCTAGAGAACAAGATGGTCTGGATCGGTTGCACATACCCTCCATCCTTGACCGTGCCCGGCGAAAACCGGAAGAGGGATGTATGGGAAAAGAATCAGACTTTGACTTTAATTTGATTATACTTCGTGCTCATTTTAAGCTCTCAAGGGTCAAATTCCTGATGGTCCCATCAGCTTCCCAGTTAATTACTTCTCACAAGACTCTTTAATTGGAGCTGTGTATTCGGTAACTGTCAAATTATAAAACATTCCTTTGATTCAGGAAGAGGCTTTCCCATCACATGCACATGGATACAAACTCCCTTGCCCACCATTGCTGGAATCTGAATTAAGGTCCAGAACGGCGTGAGCCATTTAATTAGAAATAACACGGTATGAGTTTTCTACAGCAGCCCACAATCGCCGGTGCTTGCGTAGGAACACACAGGAACGCCACGCGGTCTGCCTCCCTGAGCAGTGGTGCACGGCCCACGTGCAGACCTCTTCTGGGGCTGGCCGTGCGTGGTGGGAAAAGCTGGGCACAGGAGGTTTCTCCGTGAATACCTCTTCAGCTGTTGTCCAGGAGCAGCTGTGGTCCAGCAATGGCTGTTGGCTCGTTTCTCTCCTTCGGAGTCAGTGCAGTGGATAAAGTTGTAAGGGACCTAAGGAGTAAGTTGTACCATTTGGACAAGATTCACATTCAAGAAAAAAAATAATAAAACTTAATGTAAGAGAATCAGACCCAAGTTAAGTTCTTCTGTCTTGGATTTGGTTTTACGGTGGGGAAAAAGTGGATTGCTTGGGAGTTCATGGGAATGAGAACACAGGAGAGCAGAAGGACCAGGCGGTGCGGGGGGCCAGCTCACGACAGACTTGGAATTACATGTGGCTTGCAGAAATTCCGTCGGGCCGGTGGAAAGTGGCACCTCTAGTTAAAGTGCCTTCTCATCTGTTTTCCACAGTATTCAATGATGAGTATGAATAAAAATTCTTTGAATTTTTTAATGTTTCCTTATTTTTGAGAGGGGGAGAGAGAGAGACAGAGAGACAGAGAGACAGAGCACAAGCGGGGGAGGGGCAGAGAGAGAGGGAGACAGAATCTGAAGCAGGCTCCGGGCTCTGAGCTGTCAGCACAGAGCCCTACATTGAGCCCGAACCCAACCATGAACCACAAGATCATGACCTGAGCCGATGTCGGTTGCTCAACCGACTGAAGCCCCCAGGTGCCCCTGAATAAAACATGCTTTGACTGATTGTTCTTCCTTCCTCTTCCTGCCTCTCAAGAGTCTAATTAATACTCCGTCACATAAAGTCAAGTCACAGATGTTTCTCACATGTAGTCTGCAATGTATATATGTATTTATATGTATATTTTTATCGCGAAAAATGAATGGAGGCGCAGAGGTAAAACATCCACAGACCTACTGCTAGAATACCCATGCTTCTACCTAGTAATTGTAAAACGAATTTTCACTGATGGAATGCTACATGCTAAACACTTGGCACGGGTTGTTGCAGCCATTGCTGCCAGCAACCCCTTGCAGTGGTGAGAGAGGGAGCGGGGATTTGCATCCAGCTCCTGGAGAAGCTGGAGACCACCCTCGGAACTGGTACAGTATCTCGCCGCTTTTACTCATAAATTGGCAGTGGGAACGCATGATTATCCCACTCTTACTGAGCTGACTCTTGCCAGTCAATTGCCCCAGATTGATAGGTATATTTCCTTTTTGATTTTGTAATGAAAAAGTGGGGGGGAAGCACTAAAATTATGGAACACAAAATTGCAGCTTCTCAGCCCATCATGTGTTATTAAAGCTCTGCTGCCTTTCCCCCTTGTAAGCCCTGGGCCCTCCAGGTAGTGAGAGCTGACTCAGCCATGCCTGCCTGAAGCAGGGGAGTGTTCTGAGTGTGTCCGGAAAGATATCACAGTGGTCTGAGATGTCTACCGCTGTAAGAAATGTGAACCTACAGTGATTTCATGTAAGAAACGACTTACTTTGGGGGCGGGGCGGGGGGGCATGAGAAGGGGAATAAATGTACATTCTAATCATTTGGAACTATTGATTATTTCTTTAAACTAGCCTTTAAAAATGTTATAATGTATTTTATTCTATTTTTCAGTCTTATTTTCATTTTTTTCTATCCTTTTAAAAAATTTTTTACTGAAAGCCAAGTTAGTTAACATATAGCGTAATAATGGTTTTGGGAGTAGGATTTAGTGATTCATCACTTACATAGAACACCCAGTGCTCATCCCAAGAGTGTCCTCCTTAATGCCCCTCACCCCGTTAGCCCTTCTCCCCACCCAGCACCCCACCAGCAACCCTCAGTTTGGTCTCTTTCTATCTTATTTGTCAAATAGAAGCTATCTAGCAGACTTCAGTGAAAACACAGTTTGAGCTCAAGAAGTGTTAGTAGAATGAGCCATAGAAGGAATTACTGACATGGTCAGCACGGCAGATGGACTTTGTCTCCAGAATAGCTTCTTGGTGACCTCCTTCCAACTAGTCACCGTGCTTTCCTTGTCTTCTAGCCCCCCATGCCGGGGTCAGCCCGGCGGAATACTATCACCAGATGGCTCTGCTAGCTGGCCAGCGCAGCCCCTATGCAGACATCCTTCCCTCCGCAGCCACCGCTGGTGCCGGGGCCATCCACATGGAATATCTTCACGCCATGGACAGTAAGTGATGGGGGATGGGGCTGTTTTCTCTAGTCCTCAGACGCTAACCCGAGATAATAGAGGAAGATGCAAAGATGAGGTCATTGTCTAACTTTAGATATCAGAGGAGGGGAAAGAATATCTGGTGCTCTCCTTTCCTTGGTTCGTTAAGAAGCTTCCACAGATTTGGCCATCCTGGGACCCCTCGCAGAGCTCAGAGATAGCAATGAGCTAGAAGATGCAGTGATTGTAATTCAGCAGCTGTATAAAAACCTTCGCCTGCCCTGATTGTCTTGATAACAAAATAAGGAAACGTGTTGGATGTACTGTCACTCAGTTCACTCCTTGGTTTTCTGGATTTTATGCTTTAGAAATTGATTTTTTTACATCTGTACTTGCTTTTTAAATTTTTCCATGAATTTGTTTTGCCTCATAGGTTTTCTTTACATGAAAAATTATATTTCATGAAGATCTTTTATCTAGGAAAAATCAAAAGCATTTCCAAACCAGAGCTATTTTTAGGACATAACAGTAGAAGATAATGGCATCATTTGATGCCTTTTTTAAAAAGTTTTTTTAATGTTTATTTTTGAGAGAGAGAGACACAGAGCATGAGTGGGAAAGGGGCAGAGAGAAAGGGAGACAAAGAATCTGAAGTGGGCTCCAGGCTCTGTGCTGTCAGCACAGACCCCGACACAGGGCTTGAACTCACGAACTGCTAGATCATGACCTGAGCTGAAGTTGGATGCTTAACCGACTGAGCCACCCAGGCGCCCCGATGCTTTTTTATCACTTACTTTTGGATCCCTCAAGGCCTCTGATGATTCCTTTGGGTCACTTATATAGACATGTAGACAAATGAGCCTATGAATATCATGGTTCAGAATATCAGTTCTTATTTATTCAGATGCCATAAGTTCCATTTGCCAGGTGCCAGCAAGAGGAAGTGAAGCATCATCGGAGGTGTCAATGAAAGCCACAACCCTTTGAATATGACAACCGTACAGCTATGAGCTGGGCGTTGCTCTGGGTTTTGTTTGTTTTTCCCAGTAGCAGTGATTTTTCATTTACGGTCTGTCCTGGACTCTTATGTGACAAAGGTATACCTTGGTCAGCTCGCTAGCAGTGGTGAGTCATTCAGCCTTCAGGTTTGGAGTAAAGAGAGGGTGATAGGCTTACACAGAGTAAGATCTACAGCCTTAGTCTCCTTACAGCCATGAACCAACGCAGCTATGTCACATAGGATCCTATGTCACATAGGATCCTAATGTGCGGTGGTTTCCATTGGGGAGTTCGTTACCACACACAAAGTAGAAGAACCGTGTTATAGCTTCTGCAGGGCTTTCGTTGCTGGCTTTGTAGAGTCAAGAGCTTACATTTCAAATTCATCATAACCACATTTCAATTAGGGATTGTTGAAAAAAACAAGTTCAGTGTTATTATGCAAATTAGTTATTTAAAAATCTGCAAATAAAGAATTAAAATAGGGGAGAATCCTTGGAAGGTCAGCCCATATTACCTTCTATATTTGATGAGAATGTGTTTAGTCAGGCAATGGCGGTTTTTATCTAAATAAAGGATGAAGCTACCCTTTTACTTTGTAAAAACTAATTAAAGGAATTTTAATTTGCCTGAGTATATGGTAAATTGATTGTCATTAAGTAGGAATTTAGATGTCTTATCATTCATCACATAAAAAGAAACCTCCTTTTTCTTTGTCAGAATTTTTTATTAGAGCAGAGAAACAAAACAATTAACAGAAAGCCAGATCGGAGATTTCTGTGTTGGAACAGTAAGAATGCTCGGGCTTGTATTTCAGAAGGAATCTGTATAATCGGTGAAGACCTGGTCTTGTTATTTAATTAATTAATTTATTTATTTTGAGAGAAATAGAAAGATAGGAAAGCGGGGGGGGGGGGGGAGAGAATCCCAAGTAGGTTCTGTATGGAGCCCAATGCAGGACTTGAACTCTCAAATCGTGAACCAGAATCAAGAGTTGGACACAACAGACTGAGCCACCCAGATGCCCCTTTTTCAGCTATTTTTAAAATGTTCACCATGTTGTTTAGCTGTTCCACTCAACAGAGGATTCCAAAGCACTGTTCCAAAATGCTGACTTTCTCTGTTTGCCTGGTTATCAGAGGGTTAAGAAGAGTATATCAAAGGGTTGGAAAGTCCTTAAAATATGATCTTCCTTCTAACATAATGGAAATAGCGTTCAGTTAAACACAACATAAGAAGGGTGCCCAGCATTTCAATCGTAGGAGACTTTTCCAGTGGAGAAGCAAAACAATTATAAATTACAGTCCTACATTGGAAGTGCACCTGCGGTGGCCAAGCCTGGCTGGGATCTAGCTGGTCAGTGGGACCCATGTGACACAGGTCTTCAGGACTCTTCAGATGGGAGAAACCACAAGAAACTGGTTTTAGATGAGCACTTGACTTTTTAATGTGCCCACAAGGGGCCTATCTGGGTTTCAGCCCCTTGCAGGGTAGAGTATTCATATGTTGCATGTTTGAATAAGCAAGTCTGTTTTATGGCTCTAATTCTACTTTTGGGGATGAATGACCTTACAAGATAGGAGAGGAAGTAATCTCTACAAAGAACGTTCTAGAGTTGAGGGCTCCTGCAAACCACATTATTGGTATTGGTGGAAACAGGCTTATATAAGAGCCCATCTTGGAGGGCAGGCATGGGCAATGTGAAGGCTTTCATAGCAGAGATGAAGGAAGGCCTCTGGGCTCTCTCTTTGGAAGATATAAGGGGGTGTAAGGCCTTTGTCGCTTTATAGCATCAGATGGCCGCCTTATCTAATCAGTGATTTAAAAAATTAGAGGTATTCCAGAGATGATCTCTGTCTAGAATGTCCTGTTACTCTTAACTCCTCCAGTTAACTGAGACCCATTGAGAAGGGTTATTGCTGAGGATTATATGCAAGTGGACAGTAAGTCTGTTCGTTCTTGGAGTTATTTGGAAGTGGAAAGTGTTTCTTCATCGAAAGCTATGATGAAGTTAGCCTCTCCTAGTCAGTAAATGTGAAACATTTATGTGTGAGGCAGATGTTATAATAAAAGTAAGATGCTGATTTAAACACTGAAAGATGTGTACATAGTTGGGATAGCTATATTTTCTACTAATGTGGCCTAAATCAGGCCTGTGATGAATTCAATCTAAATGAAGAAACCCAATTTTGAATGTATCTAAAAGAAAAGTTTGAGTAGGTACCATATTCATCTTTCACATTGGTTTTCCAGTACCATACATGGATGCCACTAACTTAACTCCCTAAGTTCCAGTTTGTCATTTGTTTTTTAACTACAAAGTATATCTCTTTACTCTGTAATGTTATCTATAGAATCTTTAATATTCTTCTATTTCATTTCATTAAATTTCTTGAAACATGTTGGATAGTTACCTTGTGTCAAGGTTCATGATGAAGAAAATATTCCTATTGAATTTTCCAGAGACCCAAGTGCCTTGCTTGACTTTTTTCTATAAAAAAAGGCTTACCTTCTACTTCAGTGTTCTGGGTAACACTAAATTGCAGTGTTTATATATGTAGGTGTACCCATACTATGAAATAGAAAACCTCCCTTATTACTCAAAGCTAATCATGTTTGATTTGCCTCTTATGGAGTGGGAATATGTTCTCATTCTTTCAGTAAACTTTAGTTTGATGACTGTAATGTAAATGTGACTTTAGAAACCACAGGAGTGTGGGCCTCTGGGACACATTGATACTAGTCCCTGAAATCCAGATTTCTAGTTATCTATGAAATTGAAGGTAAATGGGCATTTAATTTTTAACTCTTTAGATAAAAAGCATTGCATCAAGTTGGCATGCGTTTAAGTATGAGTCACTGACCTTCAGATTAGAACTTTATCGGCGGAATCTTAAAAAAGAGTGAGATTCCTAATAATAAATGCTTTATTATCCCTGACTGGAGAAGCAAGGTCCAGAGAAAATAGCTCCATCAAATGTCATTATAATGTTTGCATGGTTTCCCCTCCCCCGTAAGAAATCTGGGTTTTCTAGATTTGGAAAATTTGCAAAGAAACTGCATCCTGAGATTTGTAATGTTTAGTGGGACTCATGCCTCTGGTACAGGGGACCGAGGCAGGGCTCCTCAGGGTAGGCAGAGGGGAGTGGGGAGAGAGGATTCCCCGTCATGGGGGGCTGCCCTCTGTATCATAGGCTGTTCAACAGGATCCTTGGCCTCCACGCCCTAGATAGGAGTAGCACCCCATCAACTGTGATACCAAAACGTCGTCACATGTCCCCCGAGGGCATAGTTGCCCCCGATTGAGAGCCATTAATTTAGGATAATGTATTTATCGGTTGTTTTAATAAAGCTCTAAGTATACATGGATCAGATAACTACAGAAATCATGGGGAAGCGAGGGCCTAACTAAGCTGAGTTTTCAATCCAAGGATACTTTAATTCATTTTCTCCTTCGGCTCATTGCCTTAAAATGGTTGTGTGTGGGGATGGGGGTGGGGGGTGTTGTGTGACTGTGGGAACCACTGTCTTCGTCGCTTGTGGTGAATTAATGATGGGAATATCTAAGCAGCCGTCAGATTCATAAATCACTAGAAATGAGAGGGATAACACATAAAAGTCTTTCCCTTTTGTTTAGCAATTTATCATTTTGCCTGCACATTAATAAACAGAGCTCCCCCGAGGTAAGCCCTGGAAGATAAATATTTCTCCCTAATACCCTCAATTGTAGCCAGTAGAACACAAGTGGGTGGAGATGTACTCAACACCACCAAGTTGCCGGCTTCTTACCCTTTGCTTCTTCGACCCAGACGAGTAGCGATATATAGGTGCTGAGTACAACCACAGGTAATCAGGCTCCGTTTTGTTTATATAACAGGCACCAGATTCCCCAGCCCCAGGCTGTCAGCCAGGCCGAGCCGAAAACGTACACTGTCCATATCACCGCTGTCCGATCACAGCTTTGACCTTCAGACTATGATAAGGACATCTCCCAACTCCTTGGTCACGATTCTCAATAATTCCCGCAGCAGCTCCTCAGCAAGTGGCTCCTATGGTCACTTGTCTGCAAGTGCAATCAGGTACGTATTTCCCCTGGATCCATTACGTGTTTCTTTAATAAAGGGTCAGCGCTCGACCGGCCCCGCATTTGCAGGACTGACTGCCTCTGAGGACAAATATGGTCACATGACACTGGGCCTGACCTGGGATGCTAGTCAGATATCACTGCAATGAGTGGGTTTTAGAGCCAGTTATTGGGCCAGTAATATTTTTTGGCAGACTTTAGTGAGGATCCCATACGTAGGCGCTGACGTGCTCACTTATGATGGAATCCACTGTGTAGAGGCAGTGATTATGGCAAGTCTTTCCTCCAAGCGCCTCTTAATAATTCGAGTTCTCTAGAGAGAAAACCAACTGCATACCTGGCCGTCTAACACACGGAGGAACAGGAGCAGAAAGTCCAGGCATGGCGTAATTCATGGCTGTTCACTACGGGGGGAAAGGTGTACAAAGAGAAGGTGTCAGCAGGGTTTTTAATCTAATGGGAAAGAAATGTGATGACATTGGAAGACATACATGGCCGAGGAAATGGGGCAGACAAAGTATTTTTTGCCTATTAAGTATATTTAGTTTAATTTGAAAGATCTCTAATGTCACCCTCCTTTGCTGTGCACCGGGAACATTTTGACACTTCCTATGGTGGTTCACTGTGTCTGTACTTGTACGTGAAGGGACAAACACAGGCTTCTGTCAACATGCTTACTGTAAAATACTTCTCACTGCTAATGATCAAACTTGGGCTGATGTCAATAAGTAGGGAATCAAAGTAAGCCAAGCGATGACTTGTAGATGTGTTTATACTGCTTTTGTCAGCTAATCACTTACTGGTTTGAATGCCAGAATTAGATCGTATTCTAGTTGATTCATTATGCCACCCTGATCATCACCTTTAGCTATCCTTTCCCCTGAGTTTTTCTCCCATAATTTTAAGGAGTCAAAGACTAGCAATCTTTTTGAACTGGAGTTTTGCAAACCACGGATGATTCCTTGCTTTGAGAAGCACATATCAAAGGCTGTCTTCACTTGCTTTGAATAATTGAGGATTTGTTTATTGGTGTGTTTCCACAAGTGGAGAGTAGCTTGAGTTCTTAGTGTTCTGTGATGGATATTCATAGTAGAGAAGCCTCAACAGTCTGGAAACAAAAGAGTTAGCAGTAGTAACATATCTTATAAGCCAATGACGAATACCACTATTTTTTCAACAAGGTTCTCAATTACAGCTTTAATTCTTTGCTTGTTCAAGATCAGTAATGTTCCTTGGCACACACGTTAGTGTTTAAATATTGTAAATCCCCATGTTGACATGATGTCATTTTCTTCTGCTTCTCTTTGTTCTTTTCCTATGCTCATTGAAGTGTAGGAACATGGAGCAGAAAGCAAGTGACTCTGCTTGTATGATAGTCATCAGTCCATAGAGAGAGGGCCTGGGGCATCTTCAAGATTAGCCACAATGGTACCAGATTGTAGGTTTGGAGGTGAGCACGATTCAGGTTTCAGGAGGGCTTCCTAACTGTCCTTGCCCATCGGCTCTTGGATTCAGTGTTCACATTTGTGAGCTACAGACAAGACACCCCTCAATAGGAAAGGACCCATTTTATGAACACTGGCGTGGATCTGCAGTGCCGGCATGAAGACCTTTCACCACGGGCAGTGCCTGGACCACTGATCCTGGATGGTCCGTCCAGGAGATGAGCTACCACGGCCTGACCACGGGACCCCCAGGACCCTCCCAGTCAGGCTCTGAGGAAGTGTGCCCTGTTCAGAGCCATAGCCTGGCTGCCCCTGCACTCTGGACAAATACTTGTAGCCTCACAGACTGCCAGTGACCGTATGTTGGTCTGCTGAAATTATGGAACTAGTGTGTGGCTTGACTCGAGGCCACCTCATCGAAGCGGGAGAGATATGGCATGCCAGGATATTTACAAATGATACACACACAGAATCACTTGTAAGCATTTATTTTTCTTGCTTCTATTTAAGTTTTCCTCCTTCTGGCTCTCTGCCCAGCTGGCCTGACTTTTTCCAGCATCTAAGAGCCTCAGATTAGAATACGGTGCATCGATGGTCACAACGTTGTCTTTCTTTAGTCTTTAGTCTTACCCCTGCCCTCATCTTCTCTGCCTTCTTGATCTGCTCGCCTCTGTCTAGGTTATCCATTACCAGGATCCTGACTTGGCTTGATCATTTCCCCCTGGCTCCAAGGAGAGGCCACAGATCCTGTCGTTCTCATTAGAGCTGGAAGAGGAAGTTTGCATTTGGCCCGGCCACCATGCGCTCATGTTCTTCCTCGCCTTTGGATCCTTTCCGTTGTGTCTTCTCTCTGGCAGCCTGCCCTCTCGTTCTTCAGTAGACAGCCCATGTGTGTTAGGATCAGACATAGCTTTTAATGCATGAAGGCAATGCAGATAACCCAGGACACAATCAGCGTGCCATATAATACAATAATTAGAATCATTATCATCAGCATCATTTGCCTGTCCTTTGGCGGGAGTGATGTTAGTGCTTTGCTTACCCTGTTCTCGGTTTGAATTCATGCACTAAAAATGACTTGGGAAATAATCAGTGAGTGGTAGGACCAGCGGATGGCAGGAAAAAAGAACACAGAACGCTAGAAAGGGTAGCTAACTTTGTCTGGAGGGCAAGACACGGGAGCAACTGTGGACTTAGGATGCGTGTAATCTCTGCTGTGGTTGGTGCAAGGCACTCTCATTGTTTTCACATCACGGTGATTTCAGAAAGCAAACTCTTCCTCTTGTTTTATGCATCAATGTGGTAAGCCTCTGCAAAAGAAAGTTGGAGAAGGTCAAATGCCAATACTCCCAATTCCCTTCTTTTTTTTTTTTTAAAGTTTACTTATTTTTGAGAGAGAGAGAGAGACAGACAGACACAGAGTGTGAGCAGATGAGAGGCAGAGAGAAGGAGACACAGAATCCAAAGCAGGCTCCAGGCTCCTAGCTGTCAGCACAGAGCCCAACGCGGGGCTCGAACTCACAAACCTTGAGACTGTGACCTGAGATGAAGTTGGACGCTTAACCCCCTGAGCCACCCAGGTGCCCCATCCAATTCCCTGCTTTTTAACTGACCCCTTACACATTTGGCTTTTGCACTGTTTCAATACCTAACCTGCTTCTGACATCAGCAGCACACAGAGCAATGTTGTTGCTTAAGTTGTAAGGAGGACCGTCAGTTTTCTAACAAACGGCGTAGCGATCTTCTTCACCTGGCGGTCCGGTCCAGATGGTATTCTCCAAGAGGCTGCTCACAGGTTTGCCACTACTTGAAACTCCTGTGTTTGCTGGCTCATCCAGAACTTTGCTGTTTGCGTCCCCTCTGCTAGAACACAGGTGCCAGAGGGTTGTGTGTCTTGTTCACGGCTGAGCACTTCCCCACAACTCTGTGCCTTGTCACCTTGCCGCCACTCAGTGGATATTTCTTGAGTGAGTAAATGAAGGAGCTCTTTAGTGATTAATTAGAATTCTCATCACCACCTTTCTTAAAGGAACTTCCTATGTGGTGGATGAATAATTTTGATTTTCAGAATGTTACAGTCTTTATGAACACTATATTATATGTCCATAGGTTGGTAGCTATAGAGAGAGAGAGGGATGGATACAAAATAAAGGGATAAAAAAAGCAAATGTCTCTCTTTATGTCTGGTTCTTGTGTTTATATATTTCTTAATATTTTTAGAGTGTTATAAAAACACCCTAGAAAGCATGTATCGGGGTGCCTGAGTGACTCAGTTGATTAAGCGTCAGACTCGACTTGGGCTCAGGTCATGATCTCACAGTTTATGGGATGGAGCCCCGCGTAGAGCTCTGTGCTGACAGGGAGAGAGCCTGCTTGGGATTCTGTTTCCCTCTCTCTCTGCCCCTCCCCGACTCATGCTTGCTCACATTCTCTTTTTCTCTCTCAAAATAAATAAACATTTGGGGAAAAAAAAAAAAAAGCAAGCAGGTATTTATTCACCAAAGCCCCTTGGCATATTTAAACACAATACTTGATTATCATGTCTCACTTTTCAAGCATCTTGTCCAAACATCCACCAGAAGCCTTTCTTCTTACATATACCAGGACTAAAATGACCGTTCAGAAAACCCCCACGCACTTAGAAAGGTTGTGAAATATTTGACTGTCTCAAGAAGTTTTAACTTGTCCGACCCCCTGAAGACTCCTGTCTAAGCCTAGGTGATTTCTGTTTATCAAAGACAACCTCCAACCTCCGCTCTGTGTGGTTAAGGCGGGGGTTATAAATACCCAGTCAATGGAGGTCCCGTAGAATACATCCCCTTGAGGTTGCTACCTTCCCCTGGAGATTGAGCCACTGTCAGAAGAGAGGGCTTCCCAGTGACCCTCCTCTCCCCGTTGTCTTCTGGCAAACATGAACAGAAAGATGAGGAGCCCACTTATATCTAATCCCCCTGTTCCAACGTTCCAGCTTTGACTGTAATAACCAAGACAGAGATGGGTGTGTGTCCTTCATGGTTTGGGGTCCGGCGTGGCCAGGACAGACATCTCCCCGGAAGTGGGAGTCAGATGCCGATCACCGCGGCGCCACCAGTGGGAACAGGCTGCTGGCTGCCAGCACTGCGGGCCCTGGCTAGGCTTGGGACAGCCTGTGTGTCCCTGTCCTGCAGCAGAATGCCACTGTATCTTCCGAAAGTGGTGACACACTTCTCCCCCAGTGACAGCGAAAGCGAAGAATGCTAATGGAGAAAGGTCGTTTTTATTTACCGCCATAGGTCGCCATTGGGTCTATATAGCACTTCATTTGATCAGTTAGTCATTCACTCAGCAGAGATTTAGCTGCATACTCAACTCTGTGCTGGTCACTGTGCTGGGCGTGGGGGCTACCTTGATGGGGGAGAGGCATGATCGCTGCCCTCATGGAACTCGTCAAGGGAAGAAGCCTCCGATCAGGTCTGAAAGAAGGAGTGAGGCAGATGCGACCCTGCAACGGGAAGAGCCTGGCTGTTGAGGACTGTTAGCAGCCTGGGGCGCCAGATGGCAGTAAGTGGGG